TATGATTATCGTCATTAAATATAAACTACAATATAATTAATATTAAATAATTTCTACTTTTTCCTAAACAAGAGAAATTTTTATTCTTCATAGACATTTTTCTCATAGAAGTGTTTGTTTCAAACTAGAGTATACATTAATTTTACAATTGTAGTGATGATTTGGTAAATTGGCAGTGTAGGGCCTGAAGATAGTCATGAAAGAGGGGAACAGTCTCCAAAAAGAAAGTTAAGTGATAAATAAGCTTGTAATGTAATCCATGCAGGTCATAAACTTTTTCAATTCTATCTATTCCAAGAATTTGGTATCACATTTCTTACTACTTGAACAATTAAGAATGTTTGTGTGTTTGTATAGCTACCAAAAATTTACTCTATGTCTGTGAAGTACTCTCATAATAACCGCAAAAAAATGTATGGAAGTATGCATAAATTAATTGGTGTAAAATTGTTATGGTGCTTTGCTCTCTATAATCGTGAACTCATTATATCCTTGTTTGTTTTAACCAAGTTTGACTAATTGTGATTTTATGACCTAGCTCATTTTTACTTGACAAACTCAAATATTTTTATCTCCAGAAGTCAGACAATATAGAAATTGATTGTTTTAGACACTCACAAATGAAAAAGTTTTAATTCTGGCCAAGAATGGTTCCAATTTGATAAGATTGAAAGAAAAACCACTCTGTTATTGAGTGCATGGGATTCTTGTGCACTTACTAATGCTAGAATGTAAAATAATATGGTTATTCCAAGTAAATGTAATGGACTTAATAGTTCTGCTGTATATTCATTTTTCTTTAAGTCAGGTTTTGATGTTTGAAACTTAATTTTTTTTAATGTCGATGATGAGTAATTTTTACTGCATTAATTATATGATAATGATTCAAATTTTGTTCGTGTGTATTGTCTACCTTTACTCTGCTGTAACAGAAAACTCTGTGATGATGTACAGTCAGTCAAAATAATCTTTATTGTCTGGCACTGCTGAGCACAGCCAGGCAAAAATACAGAAAAACACATTTTAGATACATGCTGTTAGTCATAGAAGGGATACAATAATATAATGGCAGAGAAAAGGGAAAGTAAAATAAAATAAAAT